CCCGGGAGGGGACAAGGAGGGAGGAGCTGATGACCTGCCACTCATCGTCTCCTTCTTCTTGGGATTCGTTATCTTTTAATTAGTGATTCTCTTCCTTTGTGTAAAAGAAAAAGAATTTGTTTATTTGGTTGCTCTTGGCTCCCAGCCTGGGTTTTAGAGAAAGCATGGCAAAGGATCGAGGGCTGTGGCTCCGGATTCAAAAGGCCTGAGGTCAAGACCCAGCTCTGTGCCTTCTGACCTGTCACCCCAGCAAGTCACTGCCACGCTGCCTGTATGGCAGGCACAGTTGTTTGGATTGCCAGACACGCGTTCCCACCTCCTCCTCCATTGCCAGCCTCTGCTAAAGATGCTTGTAAAATCTAAATACTTGCATTCTTGGCTTCCCTTATATCTAGGTGTGGCTTTGTGACAAGTCTTGGATAAAGAGTCTTAAATGGACGTCTGCTGGGGAGTTTCTGGGAGAGCTTTGTTTTTTACTGATAGTAAAGACAGATGTCACTGATGTTGCTTCCTTCGTTTCTTCCTAAGTTGAATGCAGGTATGATAGCAGGGGCTGAAGCAGCCACTATGTGGCCATGGGGGGAAGATCAAGAGAATCATAGACATGCTGGCCCTGCCTCCAGGTTTCTTACTATATGAGAAATTTAAATCCATATTTGTGTAAGCCGCTGTTGGTTTGGTCTTTTATTTCTTGCAGCTGAAAGCATTCCTGTGTGGTATAAATAGGTAACATTTTGGGTTCAGTACTGAATACCTGTTGTTTGTCAACCCAGAATCCATTTCCCTTTCTTCTGGTACCAACATCCCCATTTTCCGGGGATCCCTCAATGGTTTTGGTGGAGCTGACCTTACCTCTGGCTGCACCCTAGGGTGGTCTATAACCCAGTCTTAGTCAGAACATTGCACCCCCATCCCAGCCTCAGGGAAAGATAGATTGAGGGCTGGCATGTGCCTCAGACACGGCCGATGGCACTCAGTCCCAGCACTTTGTGATAACCCTTGGAAAGAGAGAATCTCTTTCCCTCGGCGTGAAGTTGGGAAGATGGGAACCTGAGCGTCTGGCTGACACAGAGGAAGGCAGGGTGGAGAGATGGGGACGTGGCCTGGGGACGTAACTGAGCTTTACATCCTGGCCTTCCGGGACTTTTCAGTTACCTGAGCTGACTCTCCCATCGCAGGAGCCCAGACTTGGTGATCAGGTGGGGCCAGAGAGCCCTAAATAAAATCTCTGAGCACAGGGCAGGGGCTCAAAACCTCGTCAAAGTGAATCCTGGATTTCGCCGGATCCTGCAGAGGGTTCGCTTATGAGCAGGACACGAGGACCCAGTCCTCAGGCTCTTCGTCCTTGGATCTCCCGTAACACCTTGTTCAGACCTGTGTTAGAGGATTTCGCTCAAGGCGCTGCCATTGCTTAGATGTGGATCTGCCCTCTTGCTAGACTTCGAGGCAGCAATGCATTTTCTTGTCCTAACTGCCTTAAGGGGTGTTTTCCACCTGACTGTCTTCTGCATTTATTCCCCTGAGGTTACTTTAAAAATCCATCCTACCTCTAAGAGCCTTTGCCCAGGCAGCTTCTCTTCTGTGATTCTGGACCCGCCTGCTCTGCGTATTGTTTTTCCCTGTGAATCGACTTGATCTCCTTTGCTTTTAATCCTAGAGCTCTCTGTCCCCTTCTCGTTGTCCCCTGCGTCTGCCCTCCCTGCCCATGGAGAACTCTTTCCATCCCTCCCTTCTCCCTCCTGTCATTTTCAGCGGTGGCTCATTAGATGACCCCCAGGGGACCCCTCCAGCATCAGAAGAGGCAGGAAAACATTTTCTTTGATAGCAAAATGGCAAAACACAAGAGAAGCGAGAAAATACATTCATTGTTATTTATTAACATTTTAATTTATAAAATTATATACTTACGGCAGCAAATTCAAACACTGCAGGGAAGCAAAGAAAACAAACATTGCTCTCCATTCATCTCCATACCACCAGCCCACTTTCTGGAAGGAATTGCTATCAGGTTTTTCGTGTATCTGTCTAAGAACTTTCTGGGCATATACAGATGTGTGTGTGTGTCTGTGTTTGCGTGTGCACGTATAACAAATATTGAGTGCCTACTATGTTCAGGCCCTGTTTTGGTTACTGGGAATATAGCGCTGTATGCATCAGATAAGATCTCTGGTCTCATGGAGCTTTCATTCCAGTGCTGGGAGATAGACAAGAAATAAATAAATGTACAATATGTCAGGTGTTGATATGTGCTATAAAAAGAATCAAATAGAGTATGTGGCTGGAGAGTGACAGGATGCGGATGTGCGTGCTGTCTTAGATAGGATGCTCTGGGTGGGGGAGGGCTCCATGGGTACCATTTGAGTGGAGACTGGGAGGAAGTGAGGGAGTGAGCCAGGCGAATAGCTAGAGGATGTTTCAGGCAGAGTGACAGCAAGTGCAAAAGCCCTGGGGCAGGGTTGTGCTTCGCACCTTGGAGGAGCGCCTGGTGAGGCCAGCGTGGCTGGAGCAGGGAGCCGTGGGGAAAGTGGCAGGAGCCCAGGAGCTTTCGTGTTGGCCATGGGAAGGACTTTGACTTTATTCCAACTGAGACAGCAAAGAACTTGAGGTTTTGAGAGTCATGCTCTGACTCACGTTCACCCAGGATCTCTCCAGCTGCTGGGTGAAGAATAGAGTCCAGGTGGGGCGAGGTGGACCCAGGGAGACGGAGGGGAGATGACTGCGGCTGGCATCAAGGACGTGGAATTAAACGCTGGATTTGCTGCTCCGTTAGAAAAGATAGTCCTCAAGAACGCTCTGAGGATGTCGGCCTGAGCCACTAGAAGAAAGGAGTTGCCATCTGCTGAGAGGAGGAAGGTGGAGTCAGGGAGCAGCAGCTGTGGTGGGTAGCAGATAGAGTTGGTTTTAGATGTGTTGAGCATGAGATGCCTATTGGACACTCATGTGCAGGTGTCGGGAGAATTCAAGGATGAGGGCTGGATGAGGCACGCATTCAGGAGTTATGGCAGGTTGTACACACGGCCGCACACTGTGCAGCTCTTCCCGTCAAGAGGAGTCTATTTTCCCACCTCTTGAATCTGGGCTGGGCTTGATCGACAGTCACGTCTTGCTTTGACCAATAGAATGCAGCGGAAGTGATGAGTGAATTCTGCGCCGAAGCCCGAAGAGCACTTGTACCTTCTGCTTTTGTGCTCTTGAAGGGCCTGTGATAATATGAGGAAGTGGAGGGAGAGACATGCGGCCCAGCCACCCTGTCGCCCAGCTAACAGCCTGCCAAACCCAGACCTGGGAGTGAGGCCACCCTAGATCACCCAGTGGCCATCGACTGAACAACTGACCACAGACACACGTGCAAGCCCAGCTAGGATCAACCAGCTTAGCCCAGACCAGATGAAGGACCCAGGTAAGCCAGAGTCGTGAGCCAAAGAAATCATTGCTTTAAGCCACAAAGTTTTGGAGTGATTTGTTATGGAGCAAAAGCTAACTTATGTGGAAACCATCAGCATAGAGATGATGTTTTTGTATATAAAGATATCTTACCCCTTTCTTACTCAAATGAGATCACAATACTGTTCTGTAACTTGCTTTTACCGTTTAATGACGTGTCCAATGACAATTTCCCACGAGATGCATTTCAATCTCTCTCATTATTTCTACAGATGGGTGAATATACTATAATTGGCTCAACCAGTGTCTTAGTTAGGTGGTTTCCAGTTTTTGCTGTCACAAAGCCTCGATGAACATTCTTATAAACAGTATTTACATACTTGGGTATCCATCAAATAAATTCTTGCAAATACAATTACTGAGTCATACAGATTTGCATTTAGAATAGTAAATAATTGTCAAATTATCTTCCAAAATGATTTACTAATGCATCTTTCCTTATATATGAGAGTGACTATTTCATCAACACCTCACCAACATTTTGAAATATTTGCCAATCTGAAAGGTAAAAAAAGTATTTCATTACTGTTTTATTTACATTTTTAAATTGTGGATGAGGTCAAGAATATTTTCATATGTTTAGTATCTATCTGTATATTTTCCTGTGAATCTTTTTTCTGCGCTTTGCCCATTTTCTATGGCTTGTTTAGCTTTTTAAAAAATTGAACTATTAAAGGTCAATGGATATTAAAGAAATGTTACTGTATTTCTAAATGCTTTCTAGATAACTTGATGCTTTAGCTTGAGGGTCTCAGAGACACTGAGAAGTCCTAGGAAGATAAACTCTGAAAAGAGCTTACTGTCTCACTCTTCATTCAGCTCAGAAATGACAATATCCCTCCCCAATCCAGCAGAATAACCAAAGACACAAAATTCTGTTTAGATTAAAACAAATTTTGTCCTCTATTCCTCTCCCACTTTAGAGCACTCACATCAAGGTCATACGGCATGTGTTAGACTTGGGCCCGTTGCAGCGTCATTGGGGGAATGTTCTGTCTGCAGGGGAAGGTCAGCACTGTCCCTTTGACTGACCTGGACTGAGCTCCATTGTTGAGCCAGTTGTTCATCTCTGTATCCAGTTCCATTTACGGAGCACTCAGTAGGTGCTCAATAAGCACATCATGAATGAACGAACAAACAACCCTCCTTGGTGCCCTCTACGCCCCTGCTCTCACCATGGTTCACCTCACCAAAGTAAGGGCCAGAAGGGCCTTGTCCAGCTGCCTCATGTTATGGGTGAGGTCCAGAGGGGGCAAGTGACAGGCTGGAGGTCACACAGCAAGATAGAGGAAGCAAAGGTGCAAGAGGACGACCTCCTTGTTCCAGAGCTCCTTCTGAGATGTCACACACACAGCCTCTGCCGCCTGAGCCAGGAGGGCAACGTTGGCGAGGAGGGATGAGAGCTCCCTTGGCTGGTAACCTTGCTGCTGAGTCCGATGCCACCTTCCAAGGGGCGTGCTCAGAGCGGCCTCCTGGGCTGTGGGCCATCTTTGGATGGTGAGATTGATTCCCGCAGAGGCCTGGGGTGCCTTCACCTGGAGAGGAGAGTGGCTCCATTGGGGGAGAGGATGTCCCTCTGATCTCTATGTTGAAGTGGCACAGATGCCGCCCCATTTTGGGTGCGGAGGTGGAAGGAAGTGGAGCACTGGGATGCAGGTCTGCTGGACGAGCGGGCCCCGGAGAGGCTGTGTTTCCCATGGGTGGTGTGGGAGGAGGGTGATCTGGGCAGGGAACCAGGCAGGGGCCAGCTGACCTTGAGCCGGTGGATAACACGTGGTGGGAGGAGCCAGCCTGGGCAGTGCAGGGGGTGGCAGCACGGGGCCCTGGCACGAGGAGAAGTCACGGGAGAGAAGTGAGCCCTAAGCTTTACCCGGCACTGTTCTGCAGCTTCCTAACCTTTCCCCCGACTTGGGCAGCTCAGGGTGGGCAGGGGGACCAACTTGAGGAGGAGTGCATGCCCTGGGGGCCAGAAAACCTGGCCCTCATCCCTGTATTTATAGCAATTGTTTGATGTGGAAAAGTCACTTTGCTTCTCCAGGGCCAATTTCCGCATTAGCAAAAAATAAGGATAAATAAACAAATCCTACCTCCTAGCATCACTGCGGGTATGCACCAACCTCCAGCTATAGGACTATCTCTTTCGTGTACTGCTCTCTCCCCAGAGTTTAGCATCCGGCACACACTCCAAATATGTGTTGACTAATGGACAGCTAATTCTTAGGGAGCACTTCCAAGGTGCCAAGCTTTCTTCACCTCTCACTCATTTCATCCTCCTCAAAACTATTACTGTCCTCTGAGGGGCACGGTGACTCTTCCAGGCCACCCTGCTGCTAAGTGCAGAGCTGGGGTTCGAACCTGGGCCGTCTGACTCCAGAGTGGATGTGCTGGACCTCCGCCCTTTACTCTGTGACCCTGTTCTGTGAACTGTGAAATTCTGCACAAGTAATACAAGCCAGTCCCCAGAGGAGGGAGAGACACTGTGATTGTCACTCAGTGGATGAGGATGTGGGGACAGAGAAAGGTAGCGACTCGTCCCAGGTCCTACAGACTTCCAGAGCATCCTTGCCCGTGCTCTTTCTAAAACAATTCCCCTTGCGTGTTTTACTACAGTAAGAACCCCAGAAGTGTTTCCTCACATCTGGGCCTGGATGCGATATTTCCAGACAATGGCTCCCCCCAGCTCCCCCTTGCTCCCTCAGCCACTCACAGCCACATCCAGATTTGTGGCCGGAGCCACGTTGGCCTCATTCAGCTGCTGCGGAGCCGCAAGGCTGCTGATCTTCTCCTGCTTCCGCCACTTGGCTCGCTGATTCTGGAACCAGATCTGGGATGAGGGGGAGAGAGGATGGAGATAAGCAAAAAGGTTTTTCTCCATCTAGGACCTCCCCCAAATGCATAAAAATGAGGCCTTCCAAGGGACCTACACGTTACAGTCTAGAAAGCTCCATGGCTTCCAGGATTTCTTTGGCTCTGGGGGTCTTCTGAGAGGGGACCAGGGATCACAACCTTCAATGCCTACAGGGTGGGGGCTCATGTTTGAGTGAAGCAGCTGGGTGCTGCATAATTGGGAGTGGTGGGGTCTGTGGTGCACAGCCTAAGGGGGCAGCTTCTCAGCTTCAGCCAACAGTCACCACGTGGAAATGTGAGCCCAGTGTTGCAGGCTTATCCAATTTCTAAGGCAGAAATCTTGAGTTTTATGTGAAAGCTCCGAGTTTTAAAATACTGTGCCGACCAAATAAAACCCATCTCTGGGCTGTTTCCTGCTGGCAGACCACCAGTTTGCAACCCCTGCGGGCCCCTTGGCATCTATAGGTTGAACACTGACGGTTCCCCGTGTTCACACGCGCCCTGATTGTCCGTGACCCGCAGCCACTTGTACCAGGTCATTCTGCTGAGGCAGCTGCTGAATTCTGGGCTTTATGGCAGATGCAGGCGCTACCCACTTAGCTGTGACTGATTCTGAATGTGAAGAAGAAGGGGAGAAGTCTAAGACAGGCGTGGTCCTTATCCAGAAGAAAAGTAACTTGGGATAAAATAAAGAGTGGAATGTTGACCTGGGCCCTAGCTCAGATTTTGAATTCGAATGAGTCCATTACATTTGATTAAAAAAAGAAATGAAGAGTGACTTAGAAAACTGTTCTAGTGAGAGTCCAACAGTGCAACAACTGGATTTGGATTTGCTAGAGTGATATTTGCAAAATTGGGGGTATGTGAAGAGGGCGGGACATACCCCTGGTGATTGACAGGAGCTACAGCATTTCTAACCCCAGATGAAGCAATAGACACCCCGGAGTGAAGAGATTCCAGATTCCAGATTAGGCAGCCGGTGCTTAAACCAGGTTTCTGACCGTGGATCACGGTCTTTTCCACTTCTCTGTGCTGCCTCAAAGGGATACCCATGTGGTCTAGATGCAGAGATTGGCCAACAAAAATCTGTGGGCTAAATCTGGCCTTCCATCTGTTTTTGTATGACCCATGAGCTAAGAATGGTTTTCACACTTTTAAATGGTTGGGGGAAAAAATCAAAAGAAGAATAATATTTTGTGACACATGCAAATTATACAAAATCCAAATTTTAGTGTTCATCAGTAGAGTTTTATTGGAACACTGCCATGCTCGCTTGTTTCCACATTGTAAACCACGGCTGCTTTTATGCTCCAACGGCAGAGTTGAGTAGCTGCGACAGTGACCGTATGGCTCCACACAGCCTAACATAATTACCATCTGGCCCTTTACAGAGAAAGTTTGTTGACTCCGGGTCGAGATTGTCAAGACCTATTTTGTGAATGAGGCTGCGCGGTGAACGATGCTCTGGAACTGTAGCTAGATGGACTACGAAGCGAGTGGAAGCATCACAGATGCCCCCTCACTCCATTTCCACCCCTCTAGGAGAGAAACCACCTTGTAACTATGGTGACCTCATTTCCCGGGACATAATATTTGGCAACTATGACTGTACTCATGGGATAAACCAATGGAAAATTTCAGATGGGGTGACCCTGGAGGGTCCAGGATCCATGATGTCTCACCCACGGTCCCAAGGGCATTGAGGTGGGGGGCTGAGGGTGGGGACGGCTGTACCTGCACCCGAGCTTCTGGGAGATTGATCCTGGCCGCCAGCTGGTTGCGGACGTGGACGTCTGGGTAGTGGGTGAAGTGGAAGATCTTCTCCAGCTCATGCAGCTGCTCTGTGGTGAAGGTGGTCCGGACCCTCCGCTTACTCCTCCTCTGCTCTGGGTGGAAGAGGGTCCAAGTTGTGTTAGTGACCTTGGTGTTGGCGCCTTGCTTAGGCTTTGGGATGCGTTGTTCCACCCTTTCAACCCCTGCTGCCTCTATCCCGTCTTGGCTGCTTGCTCCTCATGCTTGGATTTTGCAATAGGCTCTTTCCTAGAAACCCTGCCCCTAGGCTGACCCCCTCCCATCCATCCTGGACAGTGAGGCCAAGATAACCTTCTAGAAACTTCTCTGATCGTCCTTTCTGCTGCTTAGATGCCTTCAGTGACTCCCCCTTGTCTACAATAGGGGTTGGCAAACTATGACCTGCTGGCCAAATCCAGCCCACCGACTGTTTTTGCAAATAAAGTTTTATTGGAGTACAGCCCCGCCCATTGGTTTATGTGCTGTCTGTGGCTGCTTTTGTGCTATCATGGCAGAGTTGGGTAATTTCAACAGAGACTGTACGGCCCAGGAGTCTAAAATAATTTACCCTTTACAGAAAAAGTTTGCCAACCTTGGTCTACAAAGTAAAGGCAGAACTCCACAGCAGTCTGCCCTTCACGGTCTGTTTCCAGCCCATCTGTGTGGCCTCATGTCCACTCAGGGCCAGCTACATTATTTGTGGGGCCTAGCACAAAATGAAAATGTGGGGTTCCTTGTTCAATAAGCAGGAAAAAGCCTTTTCCTTTCTTCCACAGTCTCTCTCTCAGGGTTTTTTTTTGATTTGCTATTTAAAGTCGGGTTCCCTCTGGCACAAGGATACTAACAGGGTGAGTGCGGACCCTCTCAGGGACCTAGGGCCCACCCTTTGACTTTGTGCCAGGGTGCAGGCGCCTGATCTATACCCTCCTTGCATCCCCACCCAGGCCCCCCGTCCCCCAACCAACTCCTCCCAGCATGGAGGGGGTAGTGGTCACTGGGTAGGGGCAGGGAGACAGGTGGCCGAGAGCCCACCCCAGGGAAGCAGGGAGACGATGAGAGGGTCATTGAGCATGACTCAGGGCTCCAGGCCCCTGGTGCATGCTCCACGGTTCCATTGGACTTCATTTACAAAACTCAGATTCAAACACAAAATTATTAAGAATTTCAAGATGGTGACCGTAAGCATTAAACCCCACATACCGGGCCTCTTTCTGAGCATGGAGCCCCGTGCAACTGCACGGGCACACACACCCCGTGAAGCCTGCCCCGGCTCCATTCCTCTGTCAACCCACACACCTTGCTTCCTTCAGGCAGGTCTCCTTCCCATCTCCACACTCAACATATGTGCATATCTCTGGTTTTGCTCAGGCAACCTGTTCTGTCTGGGATCCCTTCCTCTCATCTGTGATTTCAATTTCTATGATGTTTACTGGTTCTTCAACATCTAAATTCACTCTTATAATCTCCAAAAATTCTTTCCTAATCTTTCTAGCTCTGGGTGATCTTTCCTACTGCAGAGTGTCTTCATCCCACTTGTTAGCAATATCATTCATTCATCTTCATATTTATTAAGCATATAGTTTGTGCTAGGCACTGTACTAGGCAGTGGGGTTGCAGAGTGGATGAAGATATGGCCTCTGTTTGGAAGCACCTCATCATCTAGTGAGGTGGGGGATCCAGACAGGCTTGTACATGACTGAGAATACGTGATGGTCACTGCTGTAACTGAATGAGGTGGACACACTGATGCATCTGCCCAGCACTGACTCTTTTCTGGAGCCAACACTCTCTTCCTTTTGTACACTAAGCTGCCCACACACCAACCAAGGTGTTATAATGGGAACTGGATTGGGCCAAGGAGGGAAGGGAGCCAGACTTGAACTGAACCTACTGGGCCCCTTCTCTGGAGTTTTTTTGTACTGGAACTAAGAAGGAGAATCAAACCCCTCCAGTGGTGGGATTTAAGACTTGGGCCAGCAGCCACCACGTCTCTTGTCATGCTTGTGTAGTTGTTTGCAGGGAGAAGGTATAGAGCTGACCATGGGATATATTTTGGAGGGAATTCTGGGCATATTGCTGGATTAGATCTGAGGCTAGAGAAAGAGAGGAATCAGGGGCAATGCTACGATTTTGGCTTGAGCAACAGGATGGATGGCATAGCCATTTAATGAGATGGGAGTAAGTGGGAAAGGAAGAGGGGTGTGTGTGTGTGCACGTGTGCGCATGTGATGGGGAATCAGGTATTTGATTTGGATGTGTTAAGTTTGAGATGCCTTATTGTGTTCAAAAGAAGCCGTTGAATAGGCAGATGTATATATAAGTTTGGAGCTCAAAGGGGAGCTCAGGGCTGAGGTTCAAATTTGGGGATCTTCACCATATATTTGGCCTTTGCTGTCATAAGAATGGGTAAGATCACTTAGGCAGGCAGCACATGTGGAGAGGAATGGAGGGTCTAGAAGTGAGCCTGGGGCCCTCCACCACTTAGAGGTTCAGCTGCCAATGAGGGAGCCAAGAGAAGCCGACAAGGGAGACCAAGGACGGGTCTCTGAGGAAGGAGGAAGGCAAGGACAGTGCAGTGACATGGACATCCAGTGAAGAAACTGTTTCAGGAAAGGAGGCTCAGTGGTGTCCATGCTGTGAATAGATTAATTACAATGGGGACAGAAAAGTGGTCATTGAACCTGGCCATCCTGAGACAGTGAGGGCTCAGTTGGCAGTGGGTGGAGGAGAGAAGGAGAGGTGAAGTAGAGGAGGCAGCAATTGAGACAACTCTTCAAAAAGTTTTTCTGAGGGCAGCCTGGTGACATAGTGGTTAATTTTGCGTGCTCTGCTTCGGTGGCCTGGGGTTTGCAGGTTAGGATTCTGGGCATGGACCTATGCATTGCTCATCAAGCCATGCTGTGGTGGTGTCCCACATACAAAATAGAGGACAATTGGCACAGACGTTATCTCAGGGCCAATCTTCCTCACCAAAAAAAAAAAAAAGTTTTTTTTTTCTGGGAATGTGGAGGAAGCATTGCAGTTGATAGCTAGAGAGGGAATGTGTGATCCAGGGGATTAACAAAAAATGTGAACATTATAACATCACATAAACGCCCCAGTAAACTTTCTCTAGCAAATCTCTATCTCAGTCTGTTTCCTGGGGAGCCTGACCTAAGACAGAGGGAACTCAGACACACGTAGTGCCATAGAAAACACGGGAGAAAAGAGGTTTGGAAAGAAAGGAGTGGTCATGGAACTAAAAGTAAGAGAGGATGAAGAGGAAGAGAAGTAAGAAAAGATCGATGTGTTCATTGAATACCCATCATGTGCCAGGTATGGCGCCAGACTCTGACCTGGGCCCCTAGGTATGTATATATGTGTATGTTTTTAGCTTGCCTTGTTCCAAGATGGACCTGAGGCATGTGGTCCTGAATTTGGTATTTAGGTGGTCCTTGAGGACCATGGGACGACCACTTGGGTCGAATTATGATGGCAGAAGCCAAGTAAAGAGGAATCAGGTATGTGTTGTCCCCAGACCCACCCAATACTGCATCTCATACTTAGTAGGGACTTGAACAAATGTATGTTGAAGTAAATTGGATTGAGGCATGAGCAGTTGGGATGAAGTGGAGGCAGTAAGAGAAGATCTTATATTTATATCTTGAGAAGTTGCTAGAAGGGGTGGGGGGAGATTTGGGGAGAAGCTTCAGAGTGCAGCCTGGAGCATGTCTAAAGGCTGAGGAGGAGAAACTGAGGAGGTGAGAGAGAGGGCTCTGGTGGGTGCTCGATGGGGCACTGTGGACGGGCTGGTCAGAGGTGCTCACTACATATACAATCGAGCTTTTGGGGACAGGAGAGTAGGAGATCAGGTCATCAACAGAGAACGAGGGAGGTGGGAGGGAAAGGATTTGGAAAGCTACTCTGGAGAAGGGCTAGGGAAGTGAGGATAGTAAGGAGGATTGCCCATTTGCCCGTCAGGAGATTCAACCAGCCTTGCCCGTACCTTCTGACTGGGGCCCAGGGACAGTGGACATTGGAAGAAGAGCCCCACCGGGTGGAGTGGGTTTGTTTTCCTGACCATGAGCCTCTGAGGTACAATTCTAGTCTTACTTGGAACAAAGTCCACGTGATATAATTTTAGGGATTGTAGGAAAGGTACAAACCACTCCCCAAATCACATTCACTCTCGGGGCCAATAGAATTCCTGCCATTTTAGTTGACCACAGGGCTCCTGATTTCTTTCTCATTCTTATAAGAAAAATCTGCTTTAAGAAAATGACTGAGAATCTAGGTACTTCCTGTCCCAGGATCACTCACTCATGTTGGGAGGACTGAAACCCTTCTAGGGAAGCCCACCCTTGCCTGCTGTTCTCTCTCTGTCTCTCCCCTCCTGTGAGCTCCTGGAGGGCAGGGACTGTACTTAGACTAGCTGAGTAACTGGCACCTAGTGGGAGCTTAATAATTATCCGCTCTAGATAAATAAATATGTAATTCAGGCTCTGCTCTCAATCCCATTGGGCAGATAGGACACTTTCACAATAAACGATGCTGAATGATTTGTCTGGAACTTTGTACCCTGTTGGACATCACAGGTCAGATGGGATGATGGAGATGGCTGAAACTCCTTTAAAGGAGGGATGAGGATCTATCTCCCCGTGAAGGCTCCTTACTCTGCTCAGCTCACTTTCTTCTTTCCCCAAATATGAGGTAAAACCACCACAAGCTATGAATTGGAGTAGACATTGAGTGAAAAGTGGATTTCATTTGGGATGGTTCAACAACTGAAGAGATCAACTAACTTTGTGGGGTATTTTTTTGTGTTTATTATCCATCCCACTATCGTTGGATAGTAGACAACCCATTGTGCTGGACGTCAGAAGACCCGAGCTCTGTTCCTGGCTCCACTCTATAGCTTGGACCCCATTTTATTTACTCTCTGGGCCTCAGTCTCCTCATCTGTAGAATGGGGCAGGAAAGAGAGGTTGAACGATCAAGATTAAGACGCTAAGGCCAAATCCACCTTGACATTCTGTAATTCTCTTGCTCTTCAGGTGGAGCCTGAATGGCTTAAACGCCTTCCTTCAGGCTTGCCTGGGGGACCAATTTGCTCGGT